TGGCTGCAAGTTACTTATGGATAAGCTTCGACTGGAAATTAGTAGAGGATTTCTAATTATCAAAACACTGAAATTTGTCAGTGGTTTGGCTGGAGGACAGATATGCAGCCCTAGCAACAGAGAGGAAGAAGCATGTTCCATTGGTGGAGGAAGACAGGCCAGGCTTCACCAATGTGGGAAGGATCGAGACAACCGCCACAAAGAAGAAGCAATGGGTGGTGGTGGTTGGAGACTCCCTTCTTGAGGGGGACGGAAGGAGCCATCTGCCAACCTTTCTGTTGTTTCAGAAAGTCTGCTGCTTGCTCAGAGCCTGGATCCAAGATGTCATAGAAGGACTACCGAGACTCTGACTACTACCCCATGCTGCTCATCCATGTGGGCATCTATGATACTGCCAGGGGAGACCCTGAGCATAGCAAAAGTGACTACAGGGCTGTGGGTGCAAGGGTGAGGGGCCCTGGGGTTCAGGTTGTGTTCTTGTTGATCCTTCTGGTCAAGGGAAAGGGCTAGGGATGGCACAGGTGGTGTCACCAGCATCACTTTGGCTTCTTCAACCATGGGATGTTGTTTTAAGAAGAAGGATTGCTGGGAAGAGATGGGATCAACCTGAGAAAGAGAGGGAAGAGTGTCTTCACAGATAGGCTCACTAACCTAGTGAGGAGGACTTTAAACTAGGTTTGCCAGGGAGGAAGTATGGGCTGGATGAATGGACTCTATGATGGATAGAAAACTGGCTGGTTTCCCCTTTTCCCCTGGACACCTGGTAACTTCTTCTCTCCCAAAAAGTTTTTTTTTAAATCCCCTGATCATCATCTCCATCTAAACTTTCATTCCTTGTTTCAATTCCTGGGGCACATGTTTATATTGGTAGATGATTTTCTTTCAAAGTCTGGCATCCACCTGTTAATTGCACCAATTGTATTCTTTGGTATGCACTAGGCCATTGTTTGATATATATTCTGTTTCATGTAAACATTCTCAGAATTTTTCTTCCTCTGTCTGTGTTAGGTATGCTAAGTAGGGTGTCCTTTGTATGCAGTTAACCATTGCCTAGTGAGAAGTGCTCTTATCACCTAGCTGGAAATACACCAACTGACAATTTCTTGAGTAAATCAGGGCAAAGAATTATAACAGTATATTTATATCAAACCTCACACTACATAAAATATATAAATAAAAAAATAAACATTGTTTATTATTACATCCAAATATGACAGTAGTTAATCAAGTGGAGGGGATATCTGTATATGTGAGTTATGAAAAAAGAACCACTGTAGATTGAAGTATCCTGTGACGGGATATCATGATGAGATTGGAAATTCTGGTACAAGACCACTTAGTCTGTGTGGCATGGACGCATATAATTTTGGTCTTCAGGTTATGGTATAAAGGTAGCTGTAATGTGGAAGATTAGTAATCCCATGACTCTGTATTTTGCTGGTCATCAGTTGGGGCCAGGAAGATTTTTTTGTTTTTGAGGGACTGGGACATTAGCCACAGCTGAGGTCATTTTTGACTGAGGTTCACTGGTGCCTTTGCTAGCTCGATAAACCCAAAGAATCCAGTCTGAAAGATCCTGCTTTTCCACTCAGGATCAAACCAAATGACAAATTTGGGGTCAAGTAAGAATTTTTCCTGTAAGCACAGAATGTGAGGCACTTTATGGCCCAGGAGGCCCCTTTTAGTTCTGGGTCCCTATGCTCTGTACAGGATAAACCCCATAAGGACCATTGTATTGATTTGTCAGGTTGTGAGACCTCTTAGACCGTGAAGGAAGGTTCATAGTGTTGGATGTTCCTCTGTTCGTCCTCTCCTTTAAGCACTTGCAGGTAAGTGTGAGCCTATGAAAAGCTTGTAGTATGAAGCCTTCCAGTTCTCCAGAACAATCACACCCTGTAGGTCAGGGGACCCTAGTACCATCTAAGGCTGCTGAAGTTCAGAGCTGCAGTTTTCCTTAGAAATCCTTCTGGAGGGGTCTCACTTTGCTGCTTCCTGGGCGTTTAGTGCCTGCCATGGTTGCTTCTCCCTGCTGAGAGTTTTCCTCATTGCAGAGTACCAGCCTTCCTTCTGTCATTTCTCCAGATGTTGGCTTTTAAACTCCATGGCCCCTCTTGGGTCAGATGACCCTCTAGCCCAGGCACAGCTGTTCCTGTCTAATTCTAATGAATGGCTTATAGCTGCTACTCTAGCTGCCATAGCAGGGCTCTTGCTGCTCAAGCAGGGCTCTGCCCTATCAACCTGTGGCTGGGCCACTAGCCCTGGAATTGGCACTCGTAACCCATGAACCCCTGGCTGCCTGTTCCCTTGCAACCAGCCCATAAGAGGCAGTGCTTCCCCAACCTGGGGATCTCCCTGCTGCTGTTTCTCACCTAAAGAAACAGGAGCCCCTGGTTCCCCATTACACTTTTATTCCTCAGAGTCAGGCCAATATGTATGAGTCTTGATTCCTCAGTGGGACCTAAATCTGATCCTTATATACTAAATAGAGCCACTGTTTGAGCCTATGGCGATATGAACCCGGATTCATCTATCAATGATCCATCTATCATCTACTAACAAAAATTCCTAGTAGCAGTTACCTTAGCAAGGAGAGCAGGCAAGATCCAAGTCTTCATGGCATATCCTCTTTACTTCATATTTTATCCTGACAAAACCTTGAAGGCCTATCCAGAATTCTTGTGTTGAGTTGCACAATAGTGACAGATCATTCTCCTAGTTTTCTTCCCAAAGACCCATTTCTCTTAGGCAGAAGCTTCTCTACATTTGCTTAACATTATGAAGGCTCTAGTCCAGGGGTTGCCAACCAGGGGTACGTGCACCCCCAGGGGTACTTAAAAAGGTTGTAGGGGTACACATGGGTGGGCGGGGATGGAATGTGCCCTGGGGTGTGGCAGCAGCATCTCCCTGGTGCGTTCACCTCTTACCCAGGGGAAGGATATGCCAAGCACCGCAGGCCCCATGCAGCACGCTGCGGCACCTCTCCACCCCTCACCCCAGCTCACTCTCCAGATTGACCACTACCCCCACAGCAGAGTGGTAGGGTCTGAATGGTGGGGGGGTGGTACCTGCCCCCAGCAGCATGCAATTGGCCAGATGTGAGGCCAGTCAGCAGCCCGCAGAGCCACAACTGGCCATGGCAAAGCAGCGCAGCATGCGGCCAAGCAAGTCAGCACCAGCAGCCACCACATGTGAGCCCCCACCCCGTTCCCCAGCCCCCCGGCAGCGCTGCCACTATGCGCACCCCTGGGAGGGCATGGGGGGCATGTGCCCCTGGATCAGGACACAGGGCAAGGTGGGCTGTGGGCTGCTGTGGGCTGGGGCCAGGGCAGCACTGGGCTGTTCCCAGCAGGGGTGTTGGGCCAGGCTGCACTGGGAGGCAGTTATGGAGAGCTACACTGAATTTTGGGGTGGCTGCAACCCCTCCCATAGCCCCCTCCCAGTGCCACAGCTGCTCAGCCTGGGCTTGTGACTGGGCTTGGGGGGGGGGTGGAAATCGAGCCCCCCACAGTGCAGGAGGGAATGGAGCAGGGGCAAATCATTCACCCCTGCCCCTGTCCCACACCCTTCTGCACTGTGGGGATTGACCCATGACTCGGCCCAACCAGGGCCCCATTCACAGTGAATGAGGCCCTGGCTGGGCCAGGTTGTGGGATAATTAGAGCCCGCTGGCTTATCCAGGGGCATGAGTGGGCAGCTCCTGCTGCTGCGTGCATCATGGGGGAACCTGGGGGGGGGTACTTTTCCCCCCTGCTTTGGCTCCTCTGTGCTGTGTCCCTGGATGAGCAGCTGGGCTCTGATTGTCCCACAACCCGGCCCAGCCGGGGCCTCATTCACTGTGAATTGAGCCCTGGCTGGGCCAGTTCATGGGATAATCTCCACAGTGCAGGAGGGAGTGGGGCAGGGGTAGGGATGAATGATTCACCCCTGCCCCATTCCCTCCTGCTCTATGGGAGGCTTGATCCTCAGTCCTATTCCCTCCCTCACCACTGTGGTGGGGGGCAGTCGAGGCCCCGCAGTGAGGGAGGCAGTGGGTCAAGAGCAAGGGCTGGGGTGAGTGGGGCCCTGGCTGGGCCAGGTGGTGGGACAAGTGGAGGCCCGGGGGGCCCCCCCCCCCCCCAGCCCCTGCTCCTGCCTGAAGCTGAAACTTTGAGACTGAAGGGGTACACTTGTTTAAAAAGGTTGAAAACCCCTGCGACTCTAGTCTCTTATTTGCACAAGGCTAAACCTTGCCTCAGTGCCAGCCCTGGAGAGGGAGGGTGGAATTCACCATGCAGGGTCGGACCTATAATGTTAATCCTTTTACAGCCACTGCCAAATTGGTACCAGCTTTTAGCTTTTGACCAAAATTTGCTTCTAATTCAGCAGTGGCAATGAAAGGGTTAATACTGATGCTGCAGCATGTACTCTGCCTCTGTGTTCAGGACAGAGCCATGCCTCTCAAAAATCTTTTTTTCTTTATTCAGCTTTCCCCAAAACAAGGTGTACGTCTTATTTCAGGGTGTGTGATATGTGAGAAAATAGTCATTGATTTCTTTGGGCTTTGTGGCTCTTCTGGACAATCAGGTAATTTCTGATGAAGTTAAAAATAGATTTGGGGCCCTAATGTTATGCTCATAAATTTGGAAACTTGCTACCGTAGGCAGGAGGGGTTTGGGGTTTTTTTGGAATGTTATTGTAATCTAAAATACATTATTTTAAAATGAGTATCTCCCTAGTCTACTTGTAAGGGACAAATCACTTGTCGTGTATACATTGTATCTCCATTTATACTAATAGGGTGAACTACCATAGAGCTAAATTTAGCTCACTGTTTTTTGAGTATTTTTAATTGTTTGTTTGGAAGGCAGCATCTAATATTTTCAACAAGGTGCAGAAACAATACCTAAGTGTAATTTTGCCTGTAACTGTGCAAACTGAAATGTTTGCCTTGGTAGTATTTTTGAGATACAGAATCAGTTTTTTGTCATGAAAGGTAATCTTTTGTACTTGCTTATATGTAGACTGGTGATGTACATTGAAAGAGACAGCAGAAAGGCCACACCAGGAAAAGAGCAGCAAAGCGGCAATGAATACCTGTCAAAATGCCTGGATCTTCTCATCTATCACATTGTACAGGAGCTGCCAGGAATTCTAGGTAATTTGAACTGGCTAACTATAAACAGATTTTTTTTTTTTTAATCTTACTTTTTTCTTTATGCCCTTGTGGAACATTTAAATGTCTTTTTAAAGAATAAATATGAAGGTAGAAAGATGCTATTTTCCTATCATTTACTGTTTATGACATTAGCTTCACAGAGTTTCTCAGGGCTTAGCTTAGAGCTAAGGCTGGAAGCACTGCTGGAAAGCACATTTTGCTTGCCCACTTAGTCTTGCTCTGGGTGTGCTAAAAGTCCTAGAAATATGGCAATGTAGTCACATTATAGTGGACCTGGACCCAGGCTCCTATGGTCCCTCTTAGGCTCTTGGTCTTGAGTGTGCTTATGGGTATGAAGTTAGGGGTCACCATATGGAAATGGTGCAGATAAACCGTTGGTTGTATGATGATACTTTGCATTTGAATATTGAGAGAATGCTTTGTTTTGTTTAAGATTTATATATCAAAAGCTGGAGTTAGGAGAGGGAAATGAGTGAAAAGGGGGATTGGAGACTGATGACACAGATTATAGATGGAGAGGAACCTAGGGAAGGAAGCAGGAATAACTGGCAGTCATTTGGTTGTAGCAGACACTGACAAGGAAAATGGGACTGCCAGGTTCAATAAGATAGAAGAAACAGTGGGGGTGGAGAAGGAAGTGGATGGATAAGAGAGGGACAAGGATCTGTGGAGGTGTTTGTGGGTGAAATGAAATCACCAAGGAATGGGATGGGTGACCTAGGAATAGAAGTTAGTAGATGGCTTGTGGAAGGGGAAGAGTAGAAGGGCCAGCTGTGTATGAAAACTGAGGCTAGAAGTAGGGAGGATGAGAAGACTGGGATTTGGATAGCAAACTGTGAGGGAAAGATTTTCAAAATGGCTGGTTGGGGAAACTGAGCCTAGAAATTTGGACTGGGCAGGCAAGATAATGGGACCAGGACAAGGACCCCAGTTTGGTGAAAAAGGGCTGGGATAGAATCAGTCTATAGTGGATTGGGCAGAGGAGGTCAAAGTTTGGGGAGTTACAGGCGGAACATAAATTCAAGTGCAAGAAAAGGGCTTCAGGAAAGATGAGATGTGGGTTTGAATACTCTGAGAGCAGAGAGATTGATCTGTGAGTTGTCAACACAAAGGTGGCAGTTAAAACTGTCTTAGCAGACAGGATGTCCCAGGCTAGAAATAGATATTGCCAAATGAAGCAAATCAGCTGTGTCAGGATTAACCTAGTACAGCTGATCTGCTTCATTTGGTGAAACACGTCACCTGTTGTTTTCCCAATGATCTTGCAGGACAGTGGGCAACACATTCCTGGACATACCTCAGGAATCTCTCTGATATGTCTCTATAAGCAGGGAAATCCCAGCTCCCCCCCCACCCCGAGACTGCATTGGAGCGAGTTGGACACTCTGATGTGGTGCCAGGGTTGGGCCACCAATCAGCTGATTGGCCACAACCCTGGGACTACACTGGAGTGTCGACAGGTAGTCCCAAAAGGGGGAAGCCAGGCAGGCATTCCCAAGGCTTTAAGGCCCTGATCCTTCATACACTGGGAATAGGAATTCACAAGGCTTACCAGATTGGACCCCTGAAGCCTCAAGACTGCCTGCTTGCAGTGGCTGTGGAATGTGTGCAACTCTGGGTTGACTGCACACTCGCACCATAAACCTAACAGATTAAAGCAACACAAATTGATATGACCTATGTTGTGGCCACAAAATTTGGGCATTTGTGGCTTGACAGGGGTATGGGTGTCTGTTTGCTTGGCCTTTGTACTACCATAAAATACGTTATGGCAGTGCAAAGGGGATGTCTGTCTACTTCCACCCCCAGAGATATGGGTGCAAAGGTATAGGAGAGAAGGGGCCAACGATAGAGACCCTTGCAACCTTCAGGCAGGAGAGAAGAGTAAGACTCTGTGTAATGGTTTTTGGATCCAAGATGACAGTAGATTTATTTCTTGCTGTGTGTTAATCAGAGATGATCCCATCAGGGTGCAGGGCCCAGGGCAAAGCAGCCTGCCCACCCTACACACGTATGCCAGGGAGTGAAAGCCCTGGCACACTAGATGTGGTGGGATGTGTGGTGGCCGGAACTTCCAGGCAGAACAGGCAAAAAGCCATCCAACCTGCCAGGCGGGCAAGTGGCCTAACTTGCAGCTGTGGCCTCTCCACCTGTCTCTGAGAAAGAATGGGCAGCGCTTGCAAAGATGCTAGGTCTAGAAGTCACTTTATTTTCTTAAAGTTTATTTACAAAGACCATGTGATGTTTGTGTTTTCCTCACACCAAATGCTTTTTTTTCTCTTTACGTAACTTAATATATCAGATGCCCATTCAGGGTCAATTCCAGGATTGCATCCACAGTCTATAAAATGATTGAGGCATGAACTGGTTTACCATATGTACATGTAGTACCTCACACTGTGTGGTCCTCATCTCATTTGGGAGGTAAAACATATTGTTACTATTTACCCAGAATATTGCATCGCAGTTTTTGCACACAATTTTCTGATTTTACTATTGTATAGTTTTAATGGGATGGCTTGGACAATTACTGTATCTAAAGTAAAGCCAATTGCAGACATTTCCGTTTAATTTTTTTCGTCGTCTGTTTTGATTATTTTTTTAAGCTGTCCATTTCTATCATAAAGCATTTTCTCCCTATTTGTTTGGGATCAAAGAAGAAACATGTCCTGGTCGAAGGGTGAATGCTATTGCCTCATGTGAAAAAGGTGTCCAAACTTAGATACCTTACAAAATGGAACTAGTTAAAAGCAATGTAATTATTGATTAACAAATTAATGTTTGGTTGTTTTTTTTTACAAGCATATATTTAAACTCTCTTCTAATCCCCTTCTGTTCCAGCAGATGTTGCTGTACACCAAATTATATTTAAAAAAAAAAGAGAAATCAGTTTGTCTCTCACACATTAAAAAGTTCAGTTAAATCTGTAATAGAGCAGTCTGTCTTCAAAACTTGCCAAATAGCTTAACTAAATAACCTAACTTCTGTAATTATAGAATTTTAAGTTCTCTTCTGTAATAACTATAAGAAGTGCAAGGCATACTGAAATACTGAGGTAAGCATACCTATACATCTGATGCAGAATTGGCAACAAGGGTGATCACTGTATGCATCTTACCATACAGAAAACCAGAATACCAAATGAGGGTGATTCACCATCTCTCTCCACTGCAAGTTGGGCTCGGGCAGATTATTCTATTTAACTATTCAAAAGAAAAGTGTATGTTTCTTAAAAAATAGAATTTTTTCTTGTATCTTTTATAAATGAAAAAAATATGAGCTTTTTGGACAGTTAACTATCCATGACAGTCAAATCCATAAACATATTTGTCCTTTTCATTTGGTACCTAGTTCTTTCCATTTGTTGAACATTGCAATCACTTGGAATATTTAACAGATAAAACACTGCTACTGCTAAGTATGAATTAATACCATGGCCTGTTTTATACAGAAGATCTGATTATGAAGATTGCGTGGTCCCATCTGGCCTTAAAGTGTATGAAACATTAAATAAGTGTGGCGGAATGTGTCCTTTAATTGTTTAATGCACATATAATGTGCTGTAAATAATCTTCAGTACAGGTGTTCTTGGGGAAAAGAAGTGCACATTCTAGACTGTATGACTTCACGAGATCCTTTCCAGCCGTACTTTCCTATGATCCTGTGAACATTCAGAGATGGAATACGGCTCTTGCAATGGATATTTTCATTGCTTTGGTAGTTGCTTTTCTTTCTTTGCATATATACAAAGACTTTCTCTGGCCTCTTTCTTCTACTTCAGATGAAGATATGATGGAGTCATGTTTGCTTGAGACAACAGTTAATATAGAACAGGATCAGTCAGAATACAGTTCTTTTACATTCATCCATTTGTTGGAGCTGATCCCCCAGCAGCTGCAGCAGTGACAGCAGCAGCCCCATCCAGAAGGGCCTGGCCCTTCCACCCATGAGGGTGGGAGTGACAAGTGTGGGCTAGGCACAGTACAATTAGTTGGTGGGCACCCTCAGGCTGGATTAAATTGCCTGGCAGGCTGGATGTATTCTGCCCACCCCGATGTATAGTATATGAAATTGAACACAGCATCTTGCACAAGATTTGATTTAAGTTTGGGGAAAGTATTTGTGAGACAGTTATCAAAAATGTTCTTCATTCAAAGATAAGTCATTGAAGGCTCTTTTCTAATGTTTCATGAAAAGCTGCTAACAAAGCTACTGAGAGTTTTGATCACTCAATTAGGTTTGGACTGCATAAGTTTCTGTGTGGTTCATTCTGATACGTCTGAGTTTGGGATGCTCAGAAGGGGTCAGAGAGATGGTTTGCAAATGTTTCTTGTGGAGAAGAAATAATAGCTTCTAAGAGATTGTAGACTTCAGAATTTATCAACATAATTACAGAATTACAGATTTTTTGCCTCGAAAAATGATGTGTTTGCCCATGACATGATTCATCTACTGCGCTAGTGCAGATTTTTGTAAATATAGTTCTGCTTGGAATCAGTGGGTGCCTCTACAAAGATGCTTTGCTGCGCATTAGACTAATGTGCAGTAAAGTGTTACCATCTACACATGCGCAGCAATTACTGTGCAGTAGATTAGTTTTATGCGCTGTTTTCTAGTACCTGTGGATACAGATACTAGAATTCAGCACATTAAACTAATGCACCAAAGCACACGTCAGCCTAGGCAGCAGGGAGCCACAGGAGGCGGGGAGAATTGTCTTGGCTTGGTGGGATGCTGCCTCCCAGCCACATGGAGATTGGGACACTTTATGATCTCCACGTGGCTTGGAGAGTTGTCCTCTTTGCTGGGCACCTGCCTCCCAGCTGCGTGGAGATCGGGACCTGTCTTGATCTCCACGTGGCTGGGAGACCTGTCCCAGCTGTCAGTCTCCACGTGGCTGGGAGGCAGCTGCCCGGCAGCTAGGACAGCTCCCTCCTCCCCGTGGAGATTGGCATCAGCCCTCATGCTCCCTGCCAGCTTGGGACTGGCACTCAGGAGAGCCTGGAACTCCCTCTGGCTGCTGCAGGAGGGCAGAGCAGGGCAGGAGCAGCCCTGAACTGAACTGGTCCCACTGGGAGCAAATTTGCTTCCAATGGGTGTATGTTCAGATATGTGTGGGACTTCATTTTAATGCACCTGAATCTTTTGCACAGAAAATTGAGATGCATCAATGGTGTGTGTACACAATGGACTTTCTATTGACATAAAAATAGGAGTAAAAGAGAAATCAGCCCTTAGATTCTAGTTTGGCACTTATTTAGTGTCAAGAAAATGATCATATGTCACATTAGTGGGGAAAATGTGGAATTAGGGCACAGTTTATCTGGCAGTAAGTGATAATTTTTTTCAGCCAGGATAAGAGTTAGGCTCCTTAACACTCTTAAGAGTTACCTCCTAGAGAAAAACAGAATCTCTTCCCTTCCAAATCCTCACAGTTTAGTGCAAGTTGCTGGTAAGCATAAGAGACTAATCTTTACTCTTGTAAAAAATGGTAGAACTGTATACATGCCCAAAGGTAAGCACATACTTGTGTGTTCTGAAGGATTGGGAGCAGACTGCTGAGAACTTGGCAGGCTTAAGTCCTCTAGAAGTTCAAAGGAGGAAAAAAAATCAGTATGAGTTTCAGTTAAGGAAAATCCTCAAAATCCTTCTACATATTGCAACTGAAACCACAAGAAAAATATTTCTGAATAATAAAACCTTTGTTTAGTAAACTAGTGAAGTTCGGGAAAATATATTGCATTTAAAATACACTTCAATACTTTTGTTGCAGGAGACATTCTCAGTGCCTTAGCTAATGTATCTGGACGTAAACATCCATCAACAATTCAGGCCAAACAGCTCAAGGTGTGTCTTCCCATGATGCCTGTTGTCCTCCATCTTGTAACATCCCAGGTAATTATTTTTTCAAATTTATACAAAGGACATTACACTCGTATGAGCTTCTGAAATGCAGTTTGCACTGACTGCCTTTTTAACTGCTTTATTTGAAGTTAAGATATGGCTGTATAGCAGAATAAACACTAAGCCTGGTGCTTGTAGTGATATGACAATTTTATTAATTAAAAAGATAAATATTCTGCTTATTTTTTAGATCCCTTGTAAAATGTAGGATGTTTAATATTTTTTGGATTGTTTAACTTTTTGCCAAACTCTGTTCAAATAGGTTTTCCGTCCCCAAGTTATAACAGAAGAGTTTCTTTTCAACTATGGGAGTTTGCTTGTAAGTAAAGAGTTTCATTATATTAACTTTCTATTAGGAAAGTGCACACAGAGAAATCATGGGGATTAGTCTTATACAACATATACCTCACTGTTAAAGTGAAAGGGAGGTTTTATTTTATTTTGGATGTGCCTTTTTGCCTTTGATTTTATTGCATTTTCTACTACTATCTCATATTTTCTTCCCGTAATATATTTGCTCAAAAGGCAAAAACACATAAAGTGGCTTTTCTACTGAATATTTTTCATGTCTCTTAGGATCAAATTTCATAAGACATTCAAATACTGGAAAAAAATGAATCCAGAAGTTATGTATATTTTCTGATAAATGCAGAATTTCCTGAGCACTTTATTTGATAGTAGAATAACTTAAATCTAAACTACACATGATTTTACTTTCTGTAATGGTGAAATTATGAGTAGGAATGAAAGATAAACTATAATGCTCAGTTCACACTTATATTTAGTGAGAGCCATTCTTCCTTAGTTTAAGGATTTGACCTGCATGAATTATGTTATCTTTTTCTCCTTGCCAGTACATTTACACTATATTTAGTTGGTGAAATGCCAAGCAGTATAAACTAGATAGCTAAGACATTTGTCACATTCAGCATCTGCAGTCTAGCTTTGATATTAACAATAAAAACTGAACTGGGATTTCAAATATGCTATAGAGCACTGTAGTTAAAATGAAGTAGTACTTCTATATTGTACTGTTAGATTTTAGACTGAGAGTGATTGCTATTGTCAAATGAAAAAAAAAATATTCTAGAAGTTTATTCTCATGGTGAAGTAAAATATTGTCAAGTTCATATGTATATAAAGAGTGATTAGCAATTTATCCACACAATACAGTGCAGAAGCTCTTCATTGAAGACAGTTTCACTTTTCCTTGCTTCTTAGGATTTTGATTCTGAGAAGAGTTTAATTGATTTTGATTTAGCTGTACCTATCTGTGACTGAATAATGCCCACAAAGACTATATTTTAGAATGAGGATCCTTAGAATAAAGAAAAAATATACATTTTAAAAGTTGAACTGCAAGGCATTTCTTTCTTATTTAATCTTCTGTAAATAAATGTAGTGCTTATTAAACTTTCGTGATTGATCTCTTTGGAGATTGAAGTCCTCTGTTATCAACTGTACATGGTATAACCCTGGCAGCTGGAGTGCAAGCTGCTTCTTGCCGCTCTGCCAAGTCTACAGGAAAGATGAAAGTTGTTCACCTTCAAATTCCTTTGGCTTTCCTAAAACAGCTAACAAATGTGTAGGTGTGATTTTCAACCACCTCCTTCCAAAATAAGCCATTTTACTTAGACTGTGAAATTGCTGACAGGTAGTAATAATTTATAGTCATGACCTGAGCTAAATTAGAAATAGCAAGCTAGATGTGAAAGGTTTTTAGATCTCACTTAAAAATGTGTGATCCAAATTGAAAATAATTGTTTCGCATCCCAAATAGTTAAGCAAATTATTTATATGTAAGGTTTTAAAATGAATCTAAGGATAGCTAGAGCCAAGTTCTTGAAAAACTAAATCAAACCCAGAACTTCGGGATTCCTAGGGACCCTGCTATGTTTCATGTAATTTCAAATGTCATAAATAAAGTAGACACAGACCTGCAAGTAGCTGAGCACCTCCAACTCCCCTGGTTTTGCAACCATATCCTCAAAGAAGAGGAAAAAGAATGAAATATTTTATCCAGTTTTTTGCCCAGGCTGAAATAATGTAAGAGCTCTTTGGTGGTCATCCTTGTGACTGCTCTAAAGACTGCTTAAATAGTGATTTATGAAAGAGTTCTTTATAAAATGCCTTCTTAAACTAGTCTTGATATTAGCTGATGAATTGGTGATTATACAGTTTGCATATGGGCAGGAAAAGATCCCTTGAGAACTCTCATAAAGCCCATAGGCATGTTATCTCTGGCTCCTTTTGGGGGTGTATTAAAGGGGAGAAAGGAGGGGAGCGTGCAAGGAGCCTATGTCCCACCACTCCCCATGTCTTCTCATCAAAAAAGATGAGTCTAGAGATGCTGCATCTTACTTCCCAGAAGCGGAGATCACGAAACCAAAAGAAGCTTGGAAGGACAAAGCCATGCCAGTTTCAGACTAGGAATTCTGGCATTAAACTTTATTGTCTCCTGTCCTCTTTAGTCTCGCTGGCAAGAGGATGGGAAAATATATCCTGGAAAACCCTTCAATAGAAACAGACCATTTTATAACAACACATCACAAGACAATGAATTAGGAAAAAATAGCTGAGGAACAGAAACTTAAAACAGATAGATCTTACACTTTAAAATTTATTTTTTGGCCTAAACTTATCTGTTGTTTAAGTGGCCACCATCCCCACTCTGAAACAAGGCCCTCTCTTAAGCATGATCCCAGGTTGTATGCAAAAATTATATGTATTAAAAGTGGCTACTGGTCTTATAAATAACATCTATCTGAGTGACTAGCCACATATGCAGTCTATTGTAGGGGTCTGTTAAGCCAATAGATTTGCATCACAGATTATTACTACCAGTACTGTTTGGATGTAGCCTGCATATGTTTGCAGCTGCCTCAACTCCCTCTCACACTGGTGGGAGATGGAGCATTCCCTGCTTCTCTTGAGTCATGGTTCTTCTCTAGATGGGGATAGTATGTTTAAAAACTTCTTGTAAAAAAAAAAAAAAAAAATGATAGTATTAGATTGTGTTAATCTCCGTCACAGGCTCTTTAATTGTCATCCCTCTCCCCCTTCCAGCTATTCTGCTCTAATTACGTAGAAATTTCCAGGCTGTAAACTAAGAGCCTCCTGCAGAGCTGTGATGTTGGCTAATGATGGACATTCAAGCTGTTTTGTTTAGATGAGAGGCATTTAAGGACAAATTCTCAGTTTTCACATCCTCATTATCTTGGACTATGTCCAGAAAGATTTGCCTAAGAGAACATCTTTTTAATAAGCTATATATCCCTTGCTTGATCTTGCTGTCTCTGTGCTTCTGTACACATGGAAGTTAGTTTTTGGTTAGCTAAGATGTGATTTAAATGAAATAGCAAATTTATTACACAGATGAGATACATCCATAGTGGGCCTTTTAGTTCCAAACTTGAGCAAAAGTGTCTGAGGTATACAGTTCCAGTGTGAAGCACCAATGCATTTGTTTCTTTCATCTGGTAAATTTATAATTCTTTTCCTCAAGTTCCAATGAATGTCAGTCAGAAGGGAATTCAAATAAAATTACACTGCAGTGATCTGCATAGCAGTAGCTTTATCAAAACTATTTCTACGCTGACTGCTGTTTAACCACATGTGAAGCTTACTCTGGTGGAGAGGCTGCAGTCACAGATTTGGTGCCAGGTCCTACATTCTAGCCTGCATCATTTGAACCTTATAGATAATGAGTAGCCAAATTTAAGAGAGAGATTGTGCTCTTAGGCAGTCCATAGCTTCCTGATAAATAGTAGAGAGCCTATGAATCTGCATTTCTTGCAGTTGGAGGTTTTTTGTATGAGCTGTAGCTCATCTGTTTTCTCTAACTTGAGGTCAGTTTCAGGACATTGCAATATTTGCTGCATCAAAATGACTTGGGACTTTCTGTTATTATATCAGAGTCTGTTTAATTCTCACATGAGCTGTATGTCTTCACATGCAGGCTGTCTTGGGTATCTCTCATCCCAGAGTGGCAAGGTTTCTCAAAGGCATACAAGGTTCTTTGGGCAAATCCAATATAGATGCTTCCTCAGCCTGATGAAGGGTGTTTGTTCCCGAAAGCTTGCAAAGAAAATTTTTTCCAACTATTTGAGTTGGTTTAATAAAAAATATCAGATTTACCCAAAGAACCTTGTCTGCCTATGTCCTTAGACCAACACGGCTACAATCTACACCCCTGAAACAAGGTTTGGGTGGAATTCCCATCAATTTGGGATCTTGATTTCTCCGTAGGATCTTGACCATGTCCTAAATTGTTTTATGAGGTTTTTCCCACTCCCCATGGCTCCCCACTTGACCTATGGCTTTCTGCTTTCTTCTTTATGTCTTTTGTCATGGAAAACTGTATTCTTATGGATATAACTGTTGCTTAACGTATTCATAAACAGTCTAGAAAAGGGGTGAGTAGTGAGGTGGGCAGATTTGTGGATGACACAATATACTATTCAAAGTGTTAAAGACCAAAGTGGACTGTGAGGATATACAACAGGATGGCACTGTTGAGTAAATGGGCAAGTAAATGGCAGATGGAATTCAGTGTAGATAAGTGCAAAGTGATGCACATGGCCAAAAATAACCCAGACTATACCTATACTGTGATGGGCTCTACATTAACTGTTGCCACAAAGGAAAGAGTCGTTGTGGACAGTTTGCTAAAAAACACCAGCTCGGTGCACAGCAACTGTCAAAAAGGCAAACAAAATATTAGGGATTAAGAAGGGAATTGTAAACAACAGTATCAGTATGCTTCTTAATAAATCCATAGTGCATCCAGACCTTGCATACTGTGCCCAGTTGTGACCCCCACACTTACAATTAGTGGTGTAGAGGAGCTTCCATATAAGGAGAGACTAAAGAGGCTAGACCTATTAAGTTTAGAAAAGAGATGCTTGAAGAAGAATATAAGGGTTTATATAATGCTAAATGATGAAAAGAAAGTAAATAGGGATTTATTATTTACGGTTTCTCACAATCCAAAAACTAGGGGTTACAAAATGAAATTAGCAATTTGTAAGTTTAAAACTAACGAAAGGAAGTTCTTTTTCAAACCGTGTACAATTAAAGCAGTGGCTCTCAACCTTTCTTGTAGCAGGACCCATTTGTAAACATTGATGGCCAGTCCCAACCCAGTGCTGCTCACTCCCAACCCACTGCCCCCAGGTCCCAGCCCCCCAGTGTATGGGGCAGTGGGTGGGTATGTTGGGCATGGGGGGGGGGCTCAAACAGCCCCTTTTAGGCTGCAACTCAGCCAGCCTGCAAGGGAAAAAACACAGTTTACCACATTTTTCTCCTCCAAAGGAGAATCCATTTTTAAAGTTTGTTTATTCATTTCTAAAGTGTGCTAGTGACTTTTTCATATATTCTTGTGACCAACTTTTGGGTTGAGAAACACTAAATTAAAGTATGGAACTCATTGCTACCAGATGTTGTGAAAGCTGACAGTTTAGCTAGATTCAAAAAGAGATTGGGCAAATTCTTGGAGGAAAGGGGCATCAGCAGCTTTTAGCCATGAGAGTTAGGGATACAACCTCTGAATTAGAACTTCCTAGACTTTAAATACTGAGGTTGCAAGTGGGAGAGGAACAGTAAAAAAAAACAAAAACAACAAACCCTAGTCATACCCTGTTCCTGGGATACTGGCCAAGATAGACCTATGGTCTGACACCTGTGGCAGTTCTTATGTTTTTAATGTTGACCAGGAGAATTTGACTTGCAGGCTCACCTGCACAACATTCCAAAAAGATAGGCCTTTTTGAGACCACATCCAAACTTTGTTTCAGGTCATGTCCACCATGAACCTAACTGTCCAGCTGCTACTTTTCTTCCCGAAGCTTAACTTTAAAGGGTGAGAAAAGGCTTCAGTCTCTGGACTTTGCAGAGTCTTGTCCTTTTGTACGGCTAGACTAACAAGAATCATAGAAGACAGGTGGTGATTGCACATGGAACACTACACTGGATTTCATCTTGTACCTGACTAACAATTTTTTTTGGCAAGATAACTGCTGTTCCACCAAGGAATAAGCTACTTCATCAGCTTTCGTTAGCAATGTACTCATCATGGATGTCTGTAAATGGACATTTGATCGTCTGAACATATCTTTTGAAGCACTTCACTGTAACTTGGGCTTCCCTGGGCTCATGTGGACGTTGCTAAATCAGTCTTACTGTCCTTGTGCTGATATCTCCAGTGCTTGGGAGTAGGGTGTGTGTGTGTGCGCGTGCATGCGTGTGTAATGTGCAATCACTGAAATGACAGAACAAATTTGGTTACCCATACTGTAAAGGTTGTTTAATGTTCTGATGATGATAAAAACAACTCTAAAGCATTAGGGAAGAATGGAGGATGTAAAACATGCATGCGTGCACGCACGCACACTTTACATCCTCCATCCTTCCCTGATGCTTTGGAGTTGTTTTTATCATCATCAGTATTCCTGTATGAAGGAATGAGAGGGAGTTGGCACAGTCCTGCTTTTTTATGCTTTGGCTGTGAGTACAAGAACATGTATAGGACATACTCCTCTCTGATGGCACTGTTAGTATTAGATTGGTTTAAATACACAGGACACATACACACTCCCTACAGTGGAATGTATACACACTCCCTACAGTAACACAGCATCTCTCCAAAAGCATGGTAACTGTAGCAGTAAGCAACATTTTTCTGTGTTTTCATAGAAATGTATAAAAGCAAGGTCTAATTTTCACACATGGTTTATGAATTTTGAGATGAATTTGGTAATGTAGTCAGATTTAACCCCATCTCAGCTGGGCACAAAAACAAGCAATTACATTAAAAGTTATAGTAAATAAAATAAACTACCTTTTGAATAGAGATGGACTTTACATTCTTGATTTTCTAGCATCCAAAATAATTGTTGTTTGATGACCTACCTTATGATAATTAATTTAAAAAAGAAATATATATAATGTTAATTTATTGTATTTTGAAAAATTCCTATACTTACATATTAAGGTAACTAGTGGATTTACACCCATCAGTAAAATATGTAGTAATGAAATTCTGATTGACACCACCAAGACATGAAATGAGAATTCTAATACCATATGCCTTAAAAAGAAATAGAAATATATTGCATAAACTGAAGATCAGAAAGATGGTGTCAAAGCAGGTAATTTATATGTGCAATAAAACTCTGATTTGATAAATATAAGTGTTGTAAATTCTGCTGAGAATTATTCTCAGTAAGCATCATTAGTGTGTCCTTTACATCCTTCATGAAAGAAATACTCAGTCATAAAAGTCAACCTGAAAGACCGGAAATGAATTAAATGGCACAAAACAGTGGGAATAATAGTGTAGTGTGTACTTATCCCAAATCATTATCATTTCACTTATCCTGTTCTTCAGAATGATCATTTTTTTAGGTTATCCTTAAAATCTAGGAGAGTATGCCTTTCTGTATGTACTCCTACATGTAAGTGCATCCATGCTATATGTACTCTATGTGGAAAACAAAAAGGTGGTACAAATAACAGAAAATTGCATTTTCCAGAAGAATTTTAGTGTTTTTAATGAGTTATTTTAACGTAGCAGTATCTAAGACAATTCAAAGTCTTTTTAGAAAATTCAGTCTTCTGTTAGTAATAAAGTACATGGTTTAATTGCTTCATATTTATATAGAAACTTTATCATTCTTGATATTAGAGTAATGATTATCATTGCATAATTCTTTGTGTGTTTAGTAGAACTGCAAAATTGTGTCATGTTTACCAGTGCATTGTCTTTCATATTTGAAATATAAGTTCATATATGTGTGTCTATGCACATGTGAATTGTATATAATTTTAAAATATTCTATGTTATTTCATTATTTCATAACAATACAGTGATCTTAAAAAACATTGTTACATTTTGTTCCTGAACCTTTTGAATATATATTTGTAATCCTTTTTTCTACAGAGTTTTATAAAATCAATAGATTCAGGAGAAACTAACTTAGATGGAGCTATAGGTAAGTTCATTTATGGCATTTCTATAACTTTTTATATGAAAACATTTACACGGTAGCATTGTAATAAAGAAATACAATGATATTTACTAATAGGTCAAGTTGCATCAGAAGAGCTGATTAAGACCACTTTATCCACATTTGAAGCAGTAACTCAGCATCCAGCCTTGTTAACACTCTACCACTCAACAGTAAGTCCTAGCACCACATGAAACAGTTGCATACTTATTGGATGAATTCCCACTAATGAGCCATTTTTTTTCAAAAATTTCAGTAGCTGATGGAATCATAGCTTAAAATGTATTGTAAGAAGAAAATAATTGTTTTGACTGGGAAGGGTTGTACTTGTTAATAACAAGGCCTGATTTTAGAGCGAAAGAGAAGAGTGAAAGTTCAATTTACTATGTCCAGTCATCATTTAGCGAATTGCAAAGAAATGCAAATATTTTATCTGAAATTAGCTATGGCGGTACTGTATATCCATTTTCAGAATGATTTCATATGAAAATGTTTGAGAAAGTACTGGATTGACAGCATTGCAGACTGAAGTCCTCTTTTAAGCTCTAGAACAAATTATGTTGAGGCACATCAGTAGAAACCTCCTCACTGTTCTGTCAGCATGCCTTTGCCATGACCAGGGAAAGAAAAAACCTCTATGGGTGAAAGAATGTTTCAGCTTTCAAACCATTCAATCTTTTCTACAGTGAGGAGGTTTCTACTAATGTAGGTTTCTACCTGGTAGGAACAGCCATATTGTGAAACAACACCCAGGTAGAAACCTACATCAGTAGAAACCTTCTCACTGTTCTGTCAGCATGCCTTTGCCATGACCAGGGAAAGAAAAAACCTCTATGGGTGAAAGAATGTTTCAGCTTTCAAACCATTCAATCTTTTCTACAGTGAGGAGGTTTCTACTAATGTAGGTTTCTACCTGGTAGGAACAGCCATATTGTGAAACAACACCCAGGTAGAAACCTACATCAGTAGAAACCTTCTCACTGTTCTGTCAGCATGCCTTTGCCATGACCAGGGAAAGAAAAAACCTCTATGGGTGAAAGAATGTTTCAGCTTTCAAACCATTCAATCTTTTCTACAGTGAGGAGGTTTCTACTAATGTAGGTTTCTACCTGGTAGGAACAGCCATATTGTGAAACAACACCCAGACTTCATAGCAGCACAGTTTACCTGAATTAGCTATTTAGTGAGTTGTTGTAACTTGGTTTGCTGTGTCCCCGCAGTTTACTAACCTGAGTGTTTAACCTTCACCCCCTTCTAGGACCAGTTAGTGTGATTTCCAAGTATCAGTTAAACAAGCTAAGTATGATTTTTGTATGTGCATGGGACTCGCATTGAGATAAAAATTAAATGAAGACAAACTAAAACAAACTGGACTGGAGGAAGAGGTTCCCTAGAGGTGATATGCTACATATCTCCATCACCTAGTCCTACTCTCGTGTGTGTTTTAAGCAGGGTATTAAGTTGTGAAGTGAAAATGCTATAGCTCAGAAACAGAGATGAGCTAGAATTATAATACTTTAATATTTGTTTACAATAGTGCCCAAAATGTGCTATAAAAGAGCAGACAGAGGTTAGGGGAAGTAGGAAAGAAATACATAGTTCTGTTTAGTATGCTTTTAAGTCAGCTCAACTCACTGTAAGCTGCATGGCAGAAATGGTTCTTTAAGAGGAATTTAGATGCACACAGGATATTCATACCATGAATACCTATGGATATTGTCTCAGATACCTATCAGCATATACATTCATTGTGTTATAACACCATTCCAAGAGCAGTGATCTGTCTGTAGAATCATGGTTAAGTTTTAACAGTTTTTCAGTGCATCTTATTGATGGACATCCATAAAAGTGATACAAGTTTCTGTCAAAATATTTACTGAAATTGCAGTACCCTCTCTCAGTACATTATATAAAATTCCCACAGATGATGTTTACTCTTAAATGGGTCTGTTTTTTTCTGAAATAGATTGCAGTAAGGATACAGTTCCCTTGTAACACACATACTGAGCACCTTATATCATCAAAAAGAGAGCAGCCACTATCCTACTTCTCTTTAAAATAATTGCTAAAGCAACTTAGGTTCATTTTGCCTTTTCAGACTTAAGGCTGCAGATTAGTATTGACTGATTATTAAAATGATTGGATATTTGGTTCAGTTCACATTAAACAGTCAAAATGTTAAGTGTTATCTAAAACCCATCTGAAGGTAGCCATTAACTTTTCTGTACATAAGAATAAAGCTTCTTACCCATCCAAATGCTGGTTAAAGTTTATGAAGTATATCACTTCAGTGTATATACAGAATCCTTACCTGGATTTAGAATTGATGTCTTTAATATTAAGTAAAAATAATTACTTCCATGCCTTTTTGAGAAAATAAGATCTGTCACTTTTCTCTTCTTCATTTCTATAAATAACTAGCCAATTTCCCGTCACGAATGACAGAGGGGGAGTGGGGGGGGAGGGATGGAGCCCCATGCCCCCCCCAATATGGGCCTGGTCCCCCCTTCCCTTCTGCTGCTTGGGGTTTGGGCCTGTTCCCCCCCTTCCCCAGCGCAGCAGCGGGGGTATGGGAGGAGCAGGCCTGATGCAGGGGAGAACTGGGCCCAAGGCTAGGGAGAAGCCTGGCAGTGGTGGCGGGGTGGGGGG